GCACGTATTAGCAATATTCGTTATATTATATGATAACCATTCATTATAGTATAGCTGAGAAATTTTATTTTTACAAAGTATTTAATTAAATACATTGTAAAAATAAAATTTCTCAGCTGAATTTAAATTTTAAAAAAAAGTGGTTGTAAAAATTAAATAATTATATATTTTGCATGTTTTATCTATAAATGTATATTTTTCATTGCTAAAGCAATCGAGACAATAAAAGAATGACAACAATATAACGCCAAAGTTAGATTTTAAATAATAGCAAGCAGTCTGCAGAAATATGTCGTCCTTAATCCATCAGTATTTCATTTCTAAGTACTATTTAGTAACCGGTAACGAGAAATTTCGTTAATAAAACAGAAACGATTGGATTTCATTCTGTTAATAAAAATGAGTCATTAATGAAACTGTTACGTAAACATTTCTCTTAACCCTAATGATTATAGAAGCTCCGCAGTTGTAAATATTCGCAACGAAAACGATTAGTATGTAATTTTCTCAAGTATATTAAAATAAAAGTGTATTCCATGAAAAGTAGGCGTTACTGTTTCATATTTAAGGTAAGGTAGGCGGATTATAATAGTTTCGAATTTTAGAAATTTCTCAAATTTATTCAACAGCTTTTGGTAATATAGTGAAGTGGTGTTGTTAACGTGAGGTTTCCAGGGAGGTTCTTTTCTGTAGAGATTTATGATTCAGGAAACAATGCAACAAACAAGCCAATATTCGCAAAAAGTGAATGTGAGAGATAAATAGGGAGATGAATGACCATGAGCTCCAATTTTGTACTAATTACTCCCGTGTGTCAAACGTATTCCTACTATTAATAACATGATGTGAATTTGCTGAAACAAATCTAAATATTTCATGTGGAAAATACTTCTGCTTCGTCTCAAAATGTAATTTAAATGTAAATTTTTAATCCAAATCTCGGCGGATTTTTTTTTAAGAAACTGGATTATTTAGAAACAAGAACAAAAGGTTAATTTTTAAGATAATTAGACAATTACCAAGATCTTAGTAAATTTTAAGCTAGCGTCAAGAAACACTTTTTTCAATATCTCACCTATTTTGTTCCTTGATTGTTGTCAAAAAAGCATAATATAATTAGAAAACGCAAAGGTTCTCTTCAGGATGCATTCCTTTATGCAGCGATAAATACATTTCAAAATATAGAATAATCATCCTAAAAAATTCCTAAAATAAAATATATAAATCCTAAAAAATTGTCCTAAAATAATTATATATATATACATAATTTTTTTTCTCCAAATGTGTAAATTGCAAAAATCAATAATGAAATGTTTTTTTAAAATTACACCCTACTTTCCGTACAATAGTTCATTAATCAAGTAATGCATAATTTCGATGGGGATTTTGTACCCGAAAACTACACTACTGGCTTTAAGTAGACATAGTGCTTTCCGTAGCATATCCAAAACATATTTAAAAATGAAATGGAAAACTTTTCCCCATTGTGAATATAGATGACTTACATCGTTCAAGGGCGAACATTAAACATGCTAAAAGTAGTCATAGTCGTGAAAATTTAACTGGCATCTGAGCGTTTTAGTTTTCCGTAGTACTATCAAAGAATATTATCACCCGAAATCACCATAAATCTCTCGTAGGTCACGATTGTGAAGTGATCTTATTTGATGATAAACGCTATGGGGNGGGGGGGGATTTGACCTAACTTTTCTGCCGGATATTTTTTGTTCGTTCAATTAGCTTGAAATTATTTATTTACACCTAATTATTGTAAGAACGAAAACTTTTAAAAACGTTACCATAAGTTTTCTTTCCTTTTTTTAAAATTTTGTTTCTGAATTTCAAAAATTTTTCTTGAAAAATTCGCGAACTGAAAATGCATGGCAAGCTGAATTACTCTTACTTCGCCTTTTGAAATATCGCCAAAAAAATAAAACTACAGTATTTTTAAACATAAATTTTTCAAATATTTTCGCTAGTTAATAGTTATGACATTAGAGGAACAATCAATAGTAAGCTGCAAAAAATTCATGATTCTACTCTACCGTGGCGTGAATTAAATGTTCATAGTAATAGTGGAGGTGGGCGTTTCTTTTTTTTTTTTTTTTTTTTTTTTTTTTTTTTTTTTTTTNTTTTTTTTTTCAGTTGAAACTGTAGTGACGTATGTTTTTCGTTTAATTTTAAAATATAAGTTTGCTAGTTATGACACTAGAGGAACAATCAATCGTGAGATGAAAAAAATTTATGATTCTATTCCAACGTGGCGTGAATTAAATGTTCATAGTAATAGTGGAGGTGGGTGTTTTTTTCTCTTAAAACTGTAGTGACGTGTGTTTTAGGTTTAATTTTAAAATACAATGCTTACGTTAGGGTAACATTAAATATATTAAAGTTTGCTAAAATACATTAAGTTTCGATTTCGTATTTTTGCTATTTGTTAACTTTGACTAGTCTTTGTAATAAACATACAAGCTTGTATTTCTATAACAATAAATAAAATAATTATATAAATTTTAAATACCACTTTTTTTTAAATTCTTTTTTTTTTATATTTTAAAATTTCAGCAATCTTGTTCATTCGACCTGATTGGTTCAATTGTCTAAATTGATGCCATACCTCCGTGAAAACGTAGAGGTAAAGGCAAGGTAAATTAGCGTATACGAGTGTACGATACGAACTGTTAAGTTTAACATGGCGTTTTTTTCCCTCTTGAAGCTGTGAATTAAGACGGTCGATGTCATGTGCCATGAGGTTTGATCTGTAACGACTGTGAGGAACTCTAGATGACCAGCGTTCGTATGGCTTAAGGCCGCTCGCTCGATCGGGAGAAAAGCAACCCCCATGTTATTCTATGGACAGTTCAGCCTTACATAAAATCGTCAATTTTCAAGATAATAACATTCTGTTNAATTTTTTTAAATCCAACATAATTCTCAAATTACTTTTTTTTTAATTTGATATAGCCGACCTAATTTTAGGGTTTACGACTACTAATGTTCAACTCCGTAGTCTTGTAATTTTGAACCAATCCAGAAGACAAGGATACTCCTGGATCAATACCAGAGGTATTGATTTATTATGGGAACATAAAGGTCTTTGCGACCCGACAGATTTAACGTGCATCAGTCACCATTTACTACACGGGGAGTTTTCGACCGGCGGGGATCGAACTCTTGGACATGGGCCCAGTGGACTACCAACCAGGCTATCCCAGCCCCTAAATCAATATATTTAATTAATAAATTATTTTAAATTTTTAACGATATACTTCGAACACGTTTTATTACATTATAGAAAAGTGAAAATTTATTAATTTCGCCCAGCGTTTTCAGTAATACTATCGATTCCATACTCTATTTGCATTACCGAGTATAGCTTTGCGTAGAGAGAGAGAGTAGGAATTGCATTTCATCGTATACTAATACACATTTAAAAATTAGATGAAAATTTTACCGCCCTCGTGAATAGAGACGACCTTCATGGTTCAAGGATGGACAGCAAAAATGCTAAAAGTAGTCATAGTCATGAAAATTTAAATGACGTCTAAAGTAGCACATGATCACGTTTTCTGAAGAAAAAAAAGAACTTGTAGCTCAAAACAATTTTTTTTTCTGTTTGAGAATTAAAACATGCCTACATGGTCAGATAATTTCTTTCAACATTTTGCACAAATAAAAATTTTAAGATATCTCAAAATACACGCTGATGAAATCATATATGAAAAAATAGAAGAAACAAGGTTGAAAAACAAAATCGCCCAGAAAAAGTAATTGAAGATATAGATTTGTGGGATGTTGAGTGTATGTTACTCTTTGTCGGTCTCAGTATTTTGACCAAAAGGTCAAATTTCGAAAAATCAATGTAACACTTAACGGACTGGTTGGGAAATGTTGAATTTTAAGAGTCAACGAAATATTTTTATTAAATTATCGTTCGACAAGGATAAATAACCAATAAAAGATAATTAATTTTACATACAAAGCAATGATGTACAAGTACAGTGTGCAAAATAAATATATAATAATAAATAAATGTACTACCCTGAATAACTTTCAGGGGCCCCCACCAGGGGGGGAGGTGGGCGCACGACGCGCCCACTTAAAGCTTGGGGGGGGGGAATTTTTACACTAAATAAAACGAATAGTTTGGGGTGGAATTTAGAATTTGCCCAAGAATATACGCCGAAGAGCTTGAGCCACTAATAACTTTTGACCGAATGATCGGATCTCCACATTCTAGGACTCAGTCTTAATGGTTCGAGGGGGTGACCGTAATTATGCTAATTAATTAATGCAGACGACAATTCAAGTTACGAAATCAGACATAAAAACGTACTTTCTGTGAAAAAAAAACATTGTTTTCAGCAGATGCGGATTTTTGACGCCCAATGTAAAGCAAGTAGCCACATTTTGGGAAAGATGGTCCCAATAGTTGGGTCAGGAGGGCAATACAAAGCTCCTTAATGCTAATTTTACTTTTCGCTTATTTCGCCAAATTTAAAATGGTAGCTCAAAACATCTCGAGACCTTTTTAAGCGAATTGAAAAATTTTTGCTCACAATTATAAAATTCATTTATCCAACGATAATTCGATGCAAAAAATAACTTTTAGTAAAGATTTATTATTTTATTTAATAATAGTTGAAAACATTCTGAATTGTAAAGTATACAATTTTTTACATCATTTTAAAGGAAGTAATTTAACATGGAAAAATACACATTATTAGTAAAATCTGTCGAATAGTTAGTTCCTGAGAAATCAAAATATCTGAATTTTTTAACTTTCGATTATAATTCGATTTGAATTGTATGCAAAAACTGTTTAATTTGTTTCGCTAGTTCGAAAAAAATAAAACTATTACTGAGGAAAAAAAAATTTCATGTAGTAAAAGAAAGTTTTTTTTTTTTATAATGTTGTCAATTTTTTTTTTAACTATGCTACTACTTTGTCAAGGAATACACAAACACAAAAGAAAAACAAACAATAATTTCAAAAAATAGAAATTTAAATATTAAGACTTTATTTTTGCATTATAGTAACTCTGAATATATATATACTATTAATCACAAATCTATTTACAGCTTTATATACAATTTTACAAACCAAAATTTACACTTCACATTCAAAATACACATTTTTGTTGTTATTTTAGTATTGTTTTAATTTTTTATAGATTTATTTTTTTACAAAATGAGCAAATATTAAGAGCAGAATGATCTAAATATTTGATGACAAGGACTTCAATTGTTAAGTCGCACATTGTACATAAATAAAAGGTAAAAAAGGATAAAAAGCATTGATTGACTTAATTGATCAATCATTACGAACATAAAAAAACAATATTCAAAAGGAAAAATGCACTCGCACTCATTTCAATTTGAAAATATTATTTATTTTAAGAAGCATGCAGAAAAAAAATCCGATCTATATCATTTTTAATGAAATACAATTTTAGTGATTTGTAGTCTTAAGAAGTTAGGATCCCAGTTCATTAGAACAAAATCCATATCATTAAGATGTCGTTTTTAGTTGAATTACATTAAGGATACTTGGAACCTACATCAGTAATGTAATGCTGTAATCAAGTCAGGATTGGAAAACTATTTGAAAGCGTGTTTGATATTGACTTTCTTTGACCTATATTTTTAGACGTCTTGCAAAAAATGAAGTAAAAAAAAACATAAGGGGTTACAAATTAATATTTTAGCAAAGCGACAAAAACGTGATCTAACTCTAACGAATAACTACTGAGGAATGTGCTACTGAAAATGTCAAACCCTGTTTGATTGCTGGAGGAAATAGAGAATATAAAAAATTAACTACTCTTAATATTTTTTTCATTACGTCTTCCTCACTAGTGATTCGGCAGGTTTCGATAATGTTATTGTAACTCTCTAGCTTAAATAAATTTTTTAAAAAGTACATACTCTTTTACCTCATTTTTAAGCAGAGTTCTAAGCGATTTCATATTAGGGGAATGACTGTTTAACTGATTTCTTCATTAAATTACAAATACTGAAAATAAAAATATTTAATGCAATTAAATCTAGATAAATTTTGGTCTAGTTCACAAAGCAATGTATTGCATAATACATTTAATATATAAGAGGGAAATCAGAAAGTTAAAAAATTTTAATAAGCTCCAAAGTTAATATTTACTTTTTCCAATAAGCAGGATTTATATAAAAAATCAACACATTGTCAGATTTAAACGAAAATTAGAAATGGATTTTTGAAATTATTATTTAATCTTTTTTATTTATAAAAATTTTACCTTTTTGTTTTGAATAACTTCTTTCATTTTGTTGTAAAAATAGGATATCTTGTCAAAAACGAACAACTAACAATCCAGAAAACTGAATGTTTATGAGTAACTCAATGTTCACAGTTCGCAATCTTTTTTGGCAGTGGAGTATTCAGAAATCGAGCTTCTATTGGTAGTATCCAGACTTTATAAATAAAGCATTAGCAATTATGAATATACTAATAAAAAAAGGACTATTAATTATTTTGATAATATTAATGCCGGAAAAGAATAAAATCTGCTAAATTATGGACTGATGTAAGAATTAGAACTGATGTAAGTGTTGCGAATGACTTTTAAGGGAAACAAATCTTTTTATTCTTGAATTATTTTATTTTATTTTGAATTGAAAAGCTTGATGAGCACTAATGCAATTGTACTCATACATAAATTCCTTTATTGTATGTTATTCAATGTGCTATTGTTGCTGGGAAAAAAATTTTCTCATATAATTTTTTTTTCCAATAGCAATTTACTTAGATAACTTCAGAATATTAAAGCAATTATGAATTAGATACAAATATATTTCTGCCTGATTAAAAAAAGGCGTAACACATAAAATAACTTTTTGGAACTGCTGCATTAGATGATCAATTTCAGGCTAGCTGATATAAAAAGTGTAGAATAACCAATAATAAACAAATAAACTTCGTAAATTATTAGAAGTTTAGAGGAAAATAATACAGTATTTGATGAAAAATAGCAAGAAAACTTATTAAAAAAATAATTAACTGAAATATGTAACAAAATATTATAATTCAGCAACAAACATAAAAAAGTAAAACAAAAGTTAATAAAACTAACAATAATTTTAAATAAACCATAGTAATATCTTTTAAAAATCCAGTCATAAAATATTAATAAATCACAATAAAATAATATTTTTTGTGTTTATACACTGACTCATAAAGTGTTATTGATAAAACAGATTTGAAATTTTTGAAAATGAAGCTAGTATAACAGTTTATTTAAGTATATTTATAATAATTTATAAACATATTAAAAAACTTTTAGGCTTAAAATTTATTTTTACAATTCCTAGTTGTCTATGCATTTCTTAGTAAAGTAGTATAAATGGCACTTACAATTCAATAAGGCAATAAATAAAGGGCAATTGTCAATGCCAATTGAACAATGTTGTTACTTGCTAAGATATAAAAAATGTAAGAATGTAAGTAAAAAAATAAAACAATAACAATTTTTACATGACTAGATTTTAAAGCTTTTTTTCATACATTGATACAGTATATTTTAAATTTTTTAGTGCAATTAAAAATATTGTTCTACTACTTTTCATAGATTAACCTAGAAGTCCAAATTAGATTTCTGTATTTTAAAACAAAGTTATAAAAATATTCAAAGCCAATTAAAAAACTCAGTTTTTTTTAAAAAGAATTTAACTTAATCCAACATTTTTTATATTGAACACCAACCTAGAAGAAGTAAGCTTTAACAGAATATGCTTACCGATCACTGCGTGCAAATGGCAAAGAATGGATAACATTTCTAAAAGGTGGGTTCTGAGTGGCAGAAAAAGTATTTTGAGACATAACCGTAGTAGGGCCACCACCAACCAAAGGTACTTGACTTTCACCAAAACTTTGAGGATTATGACCTAAAATAGGATTCAATGTGCTACGAACCATAGGAGCGTGAGAAGGATAAAGAGTCGGTGCACAAGCCTGGTGAGATATTATGTGTGCTGAATTAGTTATAGTAGAGTTTGTTTGACATGGTGATGACGATGACTGCACATTATGATTCATGGATGGAAATTTTACAGGCGATATAGAAACTTGGTTATTAGAACAACCCATATCAGGTAATATATTACTTAAGTTGAAATTGGGAACTGGATGTGTTGAAGGTGAATATGTGTGACTAATAATCGGAGTTGTTAGGCAGGAACAAGATAGTGGTTGAGTGGGTGGTCGTGGCAACTGACTCATGGCGAAATTTGGGTGTTGAAAATTTAAATTGAAAAAGTTGTCACTCTGTTGATGTAACACAGGATTAAAAGTTGGATTAGATGGTATCACAGAATTGGCAGAACTTTCTGACATCTTTTGCTGAGAACATTGAATTTGATTAGGAGGTACGATGGGAGGTCCAGGATTTGTTTTGAAATAGCCATTTGGTACACAGGATGAATTTGGTTTGTTACAACCATTTTCCTGAATGCTGCCAAATGTAGCAATATTTGAAGTGATATTAATACTAGAATCATTGATATTAGTAGTTTTGTTCTTTTTAGTTTTGGATCGATTAGATACCACTGCTTTACGGTTAGAAAATATGCTTGAGTTGTGGACATTCTGTCTACTTTCAGGCACAAATACTTCCTGAGATGGTCTGGTGTTGGACGGTTTAGCAGTCATATCATTGACTTCACGAGTATTGTTAGAAGCAGAATTATAAAAGATATTACCTACAAAATTTGCATTGTTTTGAGAAAATGGGGGTTGTATAGTAGGTCGGTGAGAGTTAAAATTGTTCTTTTCAGAATGAAACGTTGGGACTGGAGGGCCAACAGGCATACTTAAATCTGATGACATATCCGGATTTGATGAAACAGAACGATGAGAAAAATTGCAACAATTAGTTTTCTGAGAAGGCTGAGGGTAATTATTTCCAAATGAGTTCGGTTGAAAGCATGGACCAGATTCTGAAGCTCTAGAATTCTCTAGAGTTGGCTTCACATGTGGTAAAAAATTGCAATTATTGTAAAGGGAACTGTGGTTTTCAAACGGCAAAGAAATATTAGAATGATGCTTAGAAATAGTTGATGTTTCATGCCTATTTCCAACTATCTGGGATTCAGCACTTAAATTCATATTCAAGAAATTATCATTAGACAGAGTTAAAGGAACATCGTGAGTCCTTGTCATACCATTAAAAATAGATGTTGAAACAGTTTCACAAGGATTATAGTTTGATGAAAAGTTATGAAAAGATGTAACTGGTGGTAAAGGCACCAAAGGGGCATTTTGAATACTAATGTCGCAGCTCGATACAGGTAAAAAGATAGGGGTATCACTAATGTTATGCATGTTTGTAACATTTGTACGTTCATTTTTCTTATCTGTAAACCTTTGTGGATACCTATTAATTATATCGTTCTTTTGTTTACTTTTATCAGAACTTGCACAAGAAGTCTGCAAAAGACTCTCTGCAGAGTAAGACAGAGATGCCCTCTGGATTCTAGAGCAAGTAGTTGAAGTAGATGTAAACTGTGTACTCGATATAGGTGTGCATACTATAGAGCTTTGTATGTAATCCGAATGATTTGTAGATGAAGCAATAGATTCAGAATATGAAGGCTGGTCAGAGATAAGGGAAAGAGCAGAGTATTTTGATTGTGATATGTTTGATGTAACGGACGATGAACTTTGCGATGTCTGACAGTGTGCCCCATTTCGATTTTCACTTAAGATATTAGTGTTACTATTTTCTTTCAAAAGTGAGCTCAGTGAATGATTTAAAGCATCTACTCGAGTTTGAGAGCTGAACGTATTTGAATTACACAGATTTGTATTTTGTTTTGTGAAAGGTAAACTCCCAATTCCATTTGTATTAATACAGTTAAATGTTGAATTGTATAACATTGAAGAACTAGATGGGAAATTTTGAACACTTGACACGTTTGACATGGGAGTGTAAAAAGTGGAATTGTTGGGAACAGTGCCATAGCCATCAGCTCGCAGAGTAAATGGGGAATCCGCTTCAGTCCCTATGGGATCAGATGTGACTGTTGAATTAACACTTGGAACATGATTAATGGTTGTTTGACTATGTATGTGAGAAGTAGATGTTTTAGATGAAACACTGAAATGAGACTCAGAGTGATTTAACTTTATACCGCAATCTGAAGTTTTTGTACCCGAGAGAGCAGAAAGGTTTTGACTTTGATCACTACCACAAAATAAATTTTTTTTCTTCGAGTCAGGTTTGACTTGTGACTCTGATAACGAAACAGTTGTGAAATTCTTTGAGTTATCGCTCATTGTTGCACAGAGAGAAGTGGTATGGGAAAATGAAACGTTTGTAGATTGCACAGTGGGTTGAGTAGAATTTTCAGATGAAGAAGTAAAGTTCATTCTTGGTAAGTTAAGATATTCTTCGGCAGGGTTAGAAAAATTTACTGATTGATAGTTTTTATCATTATTAAACATTGATTGATTTTCATTGCATGTTAAAAAGGTGTTCCGAGACTCCATGACTATAGAAGGAGATACATCTTTTAGAATATCCCCTAAGATAGGATTTATGGAGAACACTGTATCCACAGTGGTAGGAGTTTTGCAATTATTTTCAGGAATCTGAATTTGGTTATTAAAATTTCCAATGGAATCAATAACAGAGTGAGTAATATCAGCAACATTTGATTCAGTTGAAGTGGGCTTCAATGCGGAATCAAGAAGCTGATGGCACTCAGAAAAAGAATCAACTTCAGGTGCTTTGTCTGAATTAGTAGAATTTTCTTTAGTTCTTTTTAAGGGAGGTTCATCATCTAAGGACAGTTTATTCTTTCTGATTTTACCTTGTTTGTTTTGTTTAACGCTTTCATCACACACAGTTTGATGTTCTGAGTTATCAGAAATAGAATTCAAGGTATTGCTTGAATTATCAACTCTAACTTCAGAATTTTCTTCAAGTGCCTTTGAATTAGAAATTATAGGATCTGAATTAGAAGTAGAACACTGAATAATGCTGTTTTCTTTTGAACAGGCTGATGTTGAAGAATTTGTGTCTGCTGGATCAGAAGTTAAATAAACAATTCCTCTTTTTGACAAATAATTTGCTTCTAGTACCTCAGTACCAAATATAGATTCTGTTGCTCTGGCTAATATGTCACAATGGGTAAAATAACTGCTAGCTTCCGATCTTACATTAACATGATCCTCTTCTTTAGATTGAGAGTTTGATTTTTCATTAATTTGAATTTTGTCAGAATCTAGATTACTTCCAATTTGAGAAATATCATTTTGATTGCAAATATTAGATGACATATCTGGACGATTAACCTTAGGGGGAGTCTTTTTCTTTCTGAAATTCGAAACTTGTTTAGACTTTTCATTTTTGGAATTAGAAAGACAATTTTTATTTGGTGTTGATATGCTTTCTGATTTTGAAGATGATAATTCATTATTTGCTAAATGAGCTGAATCATTTTCTGAAAGAACAACAGATCGATCAAGGCATGTAGATAATAAAGGCAAAGTTGAAGTAATTGGCTGTTTGCCTATCGGATACAAGTTAGGCAAAGAAGAACAAACATTAGACGATGATGGCAATACAGAAGTTACATTTGATGATAAATGACGAGAAGTTGTAACTACTTGGGATGATGGAATGTTTCCTGGCAATGAAGAGTTTGTGAACACTGTCGAATTCAAAGAAACTATTTGGTTCATTGAAAACATTGAAGGCAAAATATTTTGATTTATGGCACAATCATTTACAACAAATGATACAGTGTCAGAAAATACATTATTAGGTACTTGTATTGTTACTGAAGAATTTTCATTATTAGAACTACCTTTAGTGTTAGCATTCATTTGAGATATTTGAATTTCTTTTATTGGTGAAATGTTAATTTTTGTATTAGTACTACTTTGAACTTGGGGATTTTTCATCATAATTTTATCCACAGAACTTATTGGCTTGCAAGGATTTATAATACTACTGTTTGAACTTAAAATCAAGTTTTTATTCGGAGATGCTTGCAAGTCTGAACTTGACGAAGAAACCAAAGAGCCACTATTATTTTGTAAAGAGCCAAAAGAAGCAAAAGACTTTGATACACTCGATGAAGTCACAATTGATGAGGATACATGGTCACTACTTATGATATGCTTTTTAATACCTTTTTGATTCCCAATGCCTGCCAAAGTTTCCTCACATTGAGATGTTGTTCTATTTATACTAGACTGATTTCCAGACTTTATGACAGGCCATGCACTACTTATAGCTGAGTGACTGGATATAGAATTATCAGTTGGTTTGTTTTGTTCCAATTCTTTAGTAGTGCTGCAGATATCTTTGTTAGAAATAGAATTACCCATCAAAGCAGAGAGAGAGAAATTTGATTTTGAGGAAGAATCAGGCAAGGAGATACTAGTGCAACAGGTTGTTACAGGAACATTTTGAGCTGAAATGTCTGAAGATTTGTTTGTTTCTAAGTGATCAGATTCGGTTGCATTGATTTGTAAGCATACTGTATTGGATAATTGTTGAATGGTATTATTATGTGAGTTCGAAGACACAGGGGGAGAACTAGGAGATAGTTTTTGATTTAAAGAAACTGATAAGCTTGCCTGTATTTTTTGTGATTGATTAGCAAGAGAAATTATCTTATTAGCAGAGAGTACTTGCAACGAAGGCAGAGAATTTCCAGGCATATTTCTCACGGCTTTATTTTTAGCTCTTTCTATTTTTAGTCCTTGACTATTTGAAACTCTTTCGACTATAGTTTGAGATGTATTCAATGGTAGAGCAGAATTTATAGCTGCTTTTGAACACAAATTTGAACTGACAGTTACACAGTTACTGACAGATGGCTGAGTAGAATTTTCAGCCTTGTTTTCATCTGAGTTCAGGCAATGAGCATGGAAGCGTTTATTAGCTGAATCAGAAGAAGATGCTTGTTGCAAAGGCACTATAAGTGGGTCACTGGGTGTTAAGGGATTTGTAAAAGTTGGAATTATACTTTGCGAAAAATTGCTAGTTGCACAAGCATTTCCTAAAATAGTTGGCTGTGCTGGCAGCACAATTCTTGTATTTGCAGAAATGTTTGATGAAATAGGAACAACTGTACTTGGATTAATAGTAATCAATGTGTTATTTAAAGAAGATTTTTCTCCTTGCAGGCATGAATTATCAATTTGTGTGGGACATATCAGTGATGGCAAACCCACATTTCTTGTAACAGGTGCTACATTAATTAATTGAGGCCACAAAATTGGTAAGGTACTTGGACAAATAATTGATATTGTATTTGATGATTTGTCTTGAGGTTGATATTGTTGCAAAATATTTCCACTTGCTGGAATAATTATTGTTGACATGTTCTTGTTGCAAACATTGACTAGAGATGATCCTTGGGTTGTAGACATCACTGGGAACTGTGAAAGTGCTGTTGTCACTCCACCTGTATGAATGGAAGCATTCTTGACACTATCTCCAGGCACTACGTTAGGCAAAATAATATCTTGAACTATCTGATTTTCGGTATGTCCGTTATGGCTAACAATTAAAGCAGAAGAAGAAGTTGGCAGACAAACTTGATTATTAACAGTATTAATAGGAACATTAGCTAAAGATGAAGAAGAACTGGTTGATGCTCTTGTAATTTTAGGTTTCAATACACTTTTTAAGGTACTTTTATGCTTCAATACTTTACCCTTTTTGCACATTTGGCTAGCATTGTTTTTACCAGAGGATGCAACTTCGGAAAAGCTAGGAGAGGAAATAATATTAACTTGAATTGATTTATCACATTGATTAGAATCAGAGTTTTTGACGACAAAAGAACCATTTTTATTCTCAAGTTTGTTGCTATATTTCAATACTTTCTCAGATAAGGAGTTCAAACTAATGTTAGCTTCAAGCAATAATTTTTCATACACAGCGTTCTGTTCAGTAACAAAGGTTAATTTCTTCTTCAACTGTTTTACTTCTTCAGCTATAAAAAATGGTTAGGAAGAATAACAGTCATTAAAGATAACTTCATTATAACTTTATCAGATTTTAATAAGACTGAAATTTCTAAAGCAAGAAAACATGAGTTTGTAGGGACAAAAATTATCTTACGCTTTTCCACAATGCCATATCAGGGTGCATAGCCAAATTATTCAACAAAAAATAAGCACCTTTTAAGCACTTTTCAAGTACTCAAAAAATATTTTTAAGCACTTTAAAAAAATATCATAATTAAGCAGGATTGAAAAGTTTTTGACAATCGACGGTTTTATCTTGTTTTAACCGTCATGTCAAAAAAGAAAAGAACAAAAACTTTTGGAATTGTTTTTAACAATTTTAAAAAATCATGAAATTTTGAATCATGTAAAACGAATGGCGTTTTCATACGCTACAGACAGATTAAACGGCGAAATAGATTGGGGTTGAATTAATTATGAAAATGTTGAATAGAACAATGCGAACTGTGTCTTTTTGCATAATTCGAAGCGAAAATCAACATAGTAAAGGAAGAATCTTATTTTGAAAAAGGGAAAATTAAGCACTTTTTAAAAACACCCAATCAAAAAAGCACCTTTAAGGGCTTTTAAAAAACGAAAAAAACCACCCTTTAAGCACTTTTTAAAAACACTACGCACCCTGCATATACAAAGCTTAAAAGGCAGATTTTTTTCTTTCATGAAAAGTTTATTTGGTATGAATTCTGTATCCCTACTTATAAATACTTCAATAATAACACAGAAATTCGTGAAATTCTATTCACGCATTTTAAAAATAATTCTAAAAGATGTTCATAAAGCCCAAGCAATTATGGCACACCGAACGCCAAAATTTTAATACAGGAAACATAGTGATATATTTCTGGTAAATTTATCAAGCAGGCTACAAACTTCCATTCCACTTTATGTGGAAATAAAAATATTGTACACAAACATCTCAGAAAATAGCAAACATAATTTTAGGAAAAAACGACCATACGTGATAAAAACTAGATTTTATGAAAAAAATAAATAAAAACTAAAAGTGCTATTTAATGAAAGAAAAAAAATTAAAAAAAATATTGATAGCTCCTGATCAAGGGCACTTAATTTTTTTGTCAAATCAAAATAAAATAAAATAAATAAATCAAATGTTTTCTAGAAGAAAAGTATGTTAAGAAAAATAATAATTACTATGGAAGAAAAAACAGCATAAAAGTCTTTTCACATCTTTCTGAGATATTTATGCCAGAAATTTGCATTTTTCTTATAGAAGTAGCATTAAGATAAAAAATTGGTCACATGATGAGCGTTCCCTTTAACATTTAGGCTAATTATAATCAGCCTTTTTTCTTTTGATAATTAAGAAATGTGCAAAGAATTACTCAATGAGACTAAGTTTCTTTACACTTACTGTGAATGAACCATTATTAAGGCCATTTACAGTAAGCCTTCCCTACTTTGGATTTATGATAAACTGCATGAAAATGTGATATCACGCTCATTGAGCAAAGAATGATATATTTTCGAAATAGCCTAAAGGTATGTGGGCTGTGCAATATACCTAAATAGTATCAGCCTGGTTAGAAAATACTAGTGGATATCAAATTCTTATTATTAATATATAAAAACACTATTTATACATTTCTTAAAGGTCTTTTACATTATCATACATTGTTACAGCATAATATAAATTTCCATCCTTTTCATTTTAAGAAGTTCAGTTTATTGTATAGCTTTCATTATACAGCGTTTCTTACTTAATTGTTGTTATGAATGAATGAAATTGTAAAGATATGTTTAAATGAAATGAAGGGTTTTCTTTTCTTTACTTTCACTGAAAAAATATAAATTTAGGAATTTTTTTTAAAAAAAGATGTAAATATATTAAAATAATATAAAATCATCAATAAATTATTATATTGTTTTGCTGTGACATTTTATTAAGTTATGTTATAAAAGAGAAATAAATAACAAACCTTGAACTTCAGAACAGCGATCTGACATGAGCTTTTCTTTCTCAGAAACTAAACGCTTTATGTAATCAACAGTTTGCTCCAAAGTGCTTATTTTGCTCTGTAAGTAAATTCAAGGTAGTTTATTATGCACAGGAAAAAAATTAAAGACAAAAATAAAGTCTACTTATTATTTATTACCCAATAGATAAGAGAGGGTTCATAAATAATAAAAAATTTTCAGCCTTTTTTGAAATTTTCATATATTTTCTTAATATCTTCAAACTAAGATATATTTCAAAATTAAGTTAGGTTGAGACCCTGAGTAAAATACTGATTTGAGAGATTTCAAATTTTTTCTGACTTCCGAATTTTTTTTAAAGAGAAAGAATTACACGCAAAGTAAAAATCCCAAAACTATTTATTATTAGTATGAATATTCATGAACATTCAATGAATGAGTAAGAATTAATAGTAATTCAATTATTAAAACATGGCTTAGTTTTACAAAAAGAGCATTTAAAGGTATGAAAGGACAGGTGGGACAAGGGCCACTCTTCTAAAAAGGCTTAAGGAGAACTCTGATATCATATCTATTTTCTTCACTAAATGAAAATCCAATGTAGAACATCTGCTATTACTAAACTACATTTATTAATATATTGAGGGTTAATAGAATTTATATATACTAGCATATAGATTTATAATTTTAACATATTGTAATTTAAAACAAACATAAAAATCAGATTATATAATAAAAACAATATTTTGAAATTTATAAATTCTATATATACCTGTTTATGGACCTCTTTACAAGGAAGGAGTTCAGCAATTTTTGAAATCCAGCCATTGATTTTATCTTTACGTCTACGTTCCACAGCATTGTGAGTTTGTCTCCGTCGGGGAACTGCAGGCTTTTTTCTTTTCCTGGATTAAATTTTCGCAATTTTTATAAGTATAAAAGTAAATTCATTAATTAATACACAATAAATTAGAAGAAAAAAATACTATTTTTCCCCAAAAAGAAAATTTAATAATTCACTTTAGAGATGGTAGAAATATTAAATGCACAACATTTAGAAAAATTACTTTAAAAATTCTGCAATATTCAAAAAATTATTTAACATTTTTTCCCAAAGGTTATTGAACCTCAATGCTTGTATAAAAGGAAAAGAAAGACATTTTCACCAATTCATCAATACCATAATTCAACAGCTGCAAGAACGGTTTGTTGATATTGATCAAAGCTTACTTTCTGTAAGTAAACTCCTATCTTTAAAGGAATGGCCCTTGAAACCTTGCCCAAAAGATTTTGGAGAATCTGAAATAAATGCTATGCTTGATAATTACGCCAGTATCCTCAAAAAATTTGGCATTGAAACATCTGATGTCTTATTTGAGTGGAAAACACTAAAAAAGGCACTTTATTCAAGAAGGGATGAGCCAAACAGTTTAACCTGAAAAGACATTAATGTTCAACATCATATTGGACATTCCCAAATCTTGGCAGTAATTGACGTGTTATTAAGTTTGCCAAGCACATCATCAGAATGTGAAAGAGGTTTTAGTATAATGAATGAAACCAAGTCTGATTGGCATAGCTGCTTGTCCACAGAATCATTGAATGATTTGATGAGAATAAATCTTGACAGTCCTACCATTGACTTATTTGATCCTACACCAGCAGTTGCCTTATGGTTAGAAAGTGGTGAAAGGAAAAAAGCTTGTTTCAGAAAATAGACTATATTTTACTTACTTATTTTTTACATGATGCAAATAAATTGTTAATCTAGATAAATTTTATTGATATTTTTCATCAAGTTTTGAAAAACTCTAGGTATTTAATTCAGGGTTTCCTGATTTAAGAAAGAAGGTAAGGTTCCTTTTTAAGAAAGGAAAAAATCGTTGATTTAAATCAAAAAAATTAAATTTCGAAATTTTACTCAAAGTAGAACACCACATCAAATTATATTATGTTTTAAGTAAAAGTAATCTTGTTTTAGAGTGTATATTATTTAATTCAAGCGATATAGACATTTTTAAAATTGATTATTACATGTTTATAATTTGGTTCAAGTAAATTTATTTGGATAAAAAAAATACCATAAATTGAAAATTGTTTCTATTTTCAAACTTATATTCACTTGCTATTCTTTAAAAAAAAAAAGCAATAGAAATACTGATTGAATTATATTAATGCTAACATTAATGGAATTTAATAACTTAATTATAATATTCTAAAATTCATATCTTATTCTATTATCTTCTTTGCATTTACATACAAAAAGGTAAGTCTATACAAACTGCAGACTTCTGAGACAAGAGAGGCTGAATTTGTCAAGGGGATTTTAGGATTAAGCTTTTAATTTTAGAGAATGAAAGATCATTCAAAATTGAAATAATTATTTTGTTTCCGCTTATTTGTTTACTTATTTTTAAACTTGTTTTTATAAACCAAACAAGCTCTGAACAATTTTTATATAAAATTATAATTGAGAATATATTTTATAAAATAAAAGCCAAAAGGAATAATAAATGCTATGGTTGTAAGACTAATTATAAATAACTAAAGATTTAAACAAATTACCAATTTTTTTTTAATATTACTAAATGCTTTGTTTAAATCATCTTGATAATTCGTGCTAATTTCAGATGTTTTTCTCCTTTATTTTTTATTTTTATATTTTATGTCCTAAAACAATCATATTGTTTATTTTTGTTACATTATGATTATGTATAGTTTAATAATTTTGTGATTACTTCAAAATTGAGTAAAAATCATAGTTCTTGATTGCTAAAATATTCTTTTCTAATTAATCTTAGTAAGTAGTATAATTAATCTTATTTCCTTCTTAAATTCTAAGTATATTTATGCAACTTGTGTATTTGAGTTACTTAAAACTATTTTAGAGCTTATTCAAAATTTTTTTTTTTAAAAAAATTTTATACAAAATTAATATTAATCAAAAAAATGCGATTTAAATCAAAAATTTATGATTTTTAAAAAAAAAAATCATGATTTTTTCAATCAAAAATTTTAATTTTTTTAATTTTATTTGCAGCTAATAGGAACGCGTAGACGAACCAGTAAAGTTTTGTGCGGACTAGTAAAATGTTTTAGTTACTGGTCCTATGGACCAGTAATTTTTTTTTTTAAATTTCTACCCCTGCATACACATTCAGGGTCCGCACTAAGGATTTCAAATTATTAGCCAAATATTAAAAGTTTTTGCCAATTTTCGAAAGTCTTCGCCAAATGCAAATCTTAACAATTTTTCATTATTAAGTTTCTTCCTATAGAAAACTATTTTACCGCAGTTTGTTTCACGTTTATATTATTTGGACCCAATTCTAATAGGTTATGTGGGGCATCCACTAAATATTACTGTAATCGAATAAAAAAAATACTGGTTTAGAAAAATTCATTCTGGCGCAATTTTGCTTATTGAGTTAAATATATATATTTCTTTCCAGTGGAAAAAAATCTTTCGCCAATACTTTCACCATAACACAATTTTATTAGCCAAATTTACAGTTTTATCCTATTTGGGATAAAACTGTAACTGAGGTGGCGAATACTTAGCACAGGCACTGTGTATAGAAAAAATTTATAAGACGGACCACTCTTTCTTAAAAAGAGATGATTTTATTTTATTTCTTTTAATAATCGTTAAAAGCGATTTCAGAGAATTATTTTTAATTAGACGGAGCTACATGAGAGCCGTCTGTCATTGTGGAAGTTACAAAATCTTCTGCCGGTTGGGGCGCTGACGCGCATGCGCGCCAACATCCCGCCCGGCCTTGCAATGTTCATGCAAGAACTTAACAAATAAAATTTTTAAAAATAAACACAAATATTACATAACTTGACAATATAAAACATAAACATTATAAAATGTAGGAAACAGAATATATAACATAATGAAAAATACAGTATTTTTTATTTATTTTATGTATCGATAGGCAAGACAGCTATTTTAGAAACAGCTCTTTTAAATACCCCAGATTTTGTGCAAATTTTTACTACACGCACTTTATTATCCGAACCATGATAAACATAAATTATTCGGCCTAAAATCCAGGTATTTAAAGGCAAGAAATCTTCTTTTACAAGTACCATCTGTCCTATCTTTAAATCCTTTTTTGTTACCATCCATTTTGATCTAGCTTGTAATGTATTTAAGTAATCCGACTTCCATTTTTCCCATATAAGTTGTACAACTTTTGTAGTTTTTTGCCACCGACTTAGACGATTATCATTGAGATCAGTTAAATTTGGTTCGACAATTGATGTTATAGGCCTCCCTATTAGGAAATGGCCTGGTGTTAAAACATCAAAACTGTCATTATCACCGCTTAAGGGGCAAAGGGGGCGACTATTCAGAATTCCTTCGATTTGAATAACTATTGTTTCCATCTCTTCGTAAGTGAAATGAAATTTTCCAACTGCTCTTTTAAGATGATGTTTTACTGATTTTACACCCGCCTCCCAAAGACCACCAAAATGGGGTGATTTTGGTGGAATAAAATTCCATTCTATGCCTTCAGAGGTAAAATAATTAGCCAAAATCTGATCTGGAAAATTAATTAATCCATAAAACTTTTTTAATTGAGAATTAGCTCCAACAAAATTAGTGGCATTATCAGTATAGATTTTGGAGCATTTTCCGCGTCTACTCGTAAATCGTTTCAATGTGGCAATCATCGAATCGGAAGTCAAATCAGTCAGCTGTTCAAGATGGATGGCTTTTGTAGAAAAACAAATAAAAATACAAATATATACTTTGTTGAGAGTACCCTTACGTTGATGTTTATATTTAACAGCAAAAGGGCCGCACAGGTCTACACCTGTGACGGAAAATGGGGGTGACATGTTGACTCTTTCACTTGGTAAATTACCCATAATTTGAGTGGAAAGGAAGGGCTTAGATTTGAAACATGTTACACATTGATGTACAGTTTGACGTGCAAGATTACGACCTCCTAAAGGCCAAAATTTTAGCCTAACTGCACTTAACAAACCTTGAGGGCCAATATGAAGTAATTTCCTGTGTAAACTATCGAAGTAAATTTTACTTAATTTGGACTTTTTCGGTAAGATTATCTGATGCTTTTGATCAAAGGGTACTGAAGCATTATCGAGCCTTCCACCTACTCGTATTAAACCGTCCCCATCTACAAAGGGATTTAAGCTAGAAATATTGCGAGAAAAATTGTTCTTATTTACCAGTGTCTTCTGAGAATGCTTAATCAGGATACTTTCAGAATACTTTACCTCGTCAACTGTCAAGGGTCCCATTTTCTTATCCTTATGTTTACAATTATGAAGAAATCTGCAAATATAACATAAAATATGATTAATTTTATAATAATTATTTGAGAGTTCTAAAAGTTTATCAATCAGGGTCTGTGAATCATCAGTTAGCAAAACAGTCTCTTCCGTACTCTCGGTTGAGGAAACAGTTTTTGCTTCTCGGAGAATTGTTTCTTTTTCACCTTCTGCAAGGGATTCTATATCAGGAAATGATTGTTCTAAAGTTTCTTGAAAATCAGATTCCATCAAAAATTCAGCACCTGTCCACCACCTGGAACTATCAACCAAACATTCAGCACTAATTCCACGAGAGAGAATATCTGCAGGATTATCTGTACCTGCACAATGGTGCCAGGAGTTTGGATCTGTCAAAGTGGCTATTTCTTTAACTCGATTAGCAACGAATTGTTTCCAACGAGTTGTCTTTCCCTTTATCCAGTAGAGCGCAATTTTAGAGTCAGTCCAATGATATGCAATTGAAGACCTTTTCAGATTCACAATCTTTTTCACTTTGGATGTCAAGCGAGCTGCAACTAGAGCTCCCAGCAATTCCAGTCTAGGCAGAGTCACACTATTCAAAGGAGCTACTCGGCTTTTAGAAGTCAAAAGTCTA